ATTATTTTTAATGTGTTTTCATATTATTATTACTTCCATTACACTAAAAAGTGATTTTACAAAACAAAAGGGATGTATAAACATGTATGGACATATTTCGTATATGATTATCTTTTTAAAAAAAGGTATACATAACAAAAGCACTAAGCATGCGTATTTTCCGTAAAAAATCATTTAAGCCGGTTTCATCGTTTGCTGTTTAGTAGAATTGACCATTTATGATTCATAATTAATTACCGATTCGGCTTAATCGAGTTGGTGAAACCAGTCCTTTGCACATAATACTAAATCAATCCAACGCAATTAATAGTAGTTTTAATTTTTTTTCAAGGATATTCTTATTGAAGATCTTCTTATTCCAACCCAAGTAATGGAAACTTTAATTTTCTGTTAAAAATTATTACTCTTCGAAAAAAATTAATGTATCAAATGAAAAATTAAAACCCAGATGCTACAATCTTAATCAATCATTCTATCAAATTAAAAAGTAAAACACAAATGAGATACTACGAGGACAAGTCAATAAGTTCTTAGAAAATCTGTCAGAGGGCATTCGCGGTGTCATGTCACATTACCTTTTGAGTAGTAGCATCTTTCAGTTGATTACTATCAAATTTTGAGTGGAATTTATCGCGTGGTTTCTGTAGACGATTAAAGCGAACAACCTTTGTATTTTTTCAAAATGGAAAAAAACGAGTTTTGTGCAGTGATCATGAAAGGTTTAACGCCGAAAGAAATCAAACCGAGTTAAATAACGTTTATAGCACATCTGCACAGCGTTTGCAACTATATATAATTGGGTGAATGAATTTAAACATGGTCGTACATCCACATGTGATGCATCTCGTCCAATTGAGGCTGCTACGCCACAAATCATCGATAAAGTCCACGATATTGTTTTGACTGATCGAAAGTTTCGACTTGAGTGAAAGTGCGCGAGCTTGTTGGCCACAGGCACATCACATGGCACAGTGATCAATTTTGCACGAACAATTGGGTATGAAAAAGCTATCGGCAAGATGAGTGCCGCGTTTGCTCACTGTGGACCATAAGTGCGACCGTGTGACGATTTCAAAACAATGTTTGGAGATGTTTTAACGTAATCCAGATAAATTTCTGCGTCGATTACTGTGGATGAAACATGGATCCATTACTTCACACTCGAGACGAAGGAACAGTCAAAACTTGACCGAGTGAAAACCAGCTCCGAAGAAGGCAAAGAACCGTGAAGTCAGCCGGAAAGGTGATGGCCACAGTTTTTTGAGATGCACGCGGTATAATTCATATCGATTATCTTCCGTCGAAGCAAACGATCAATGGCGATTACTACGCAGCCTTATTGGATCGTTTCAACATTTTAAAGAAAAAAACGTCCCCATTTGGCGAAGAAGAAAGTACTTCCATCAAGACAGTGCACGGGTTCACATGTGGCACCGATGGCCAAATTCAACGAATTCCGCTACGAATTGCTTCCTCATCCATCATATTCGCCAGATTTAGCCTCCTGCGACTATTTCCTGTTTCCAAACTTGAAGAAATGGTTCAAAGGAAAGAGATTCACCACCAGAGAGCAGTTCATCGCCGAAACAGAAGCTTATTTTGAAGGATTAGACAAATCATATTATTCGGATGGCTTGAAAAAGTTCGAGAATCGTTGGATCAAGTGTATCGAGCTGAAAGGAGACTATGTTGAGAAAAAAAAATGAATCGATTAAAAAATATGTTTTACTATGTTTTCCTAAAAACTTATTGACTTGCCCTCGTATCTTTTATTATTTATTTAACTCTAATGATATGTATCATTTGTAAAAGATTTGTTATTAACAAAATGGGCGCCAAGTTAAATTCTTCAAAATTTTATGTATTATTCGTAAAAAAGGTTGATATCAACAATTGGCGGCAAATTAAATTAAATTCCATGTAATTCGGAGTGTTTTTACATGAAAATTTTTTCTATTTAAATTAAATTTTTTTATTTTATACGGTTAATTTTTTGTGATAACATTTAAATTAAGCAAGATAACGTAATTTTGTGATAATGCTTTGTATATTATTTTGAAGGAAAATTAAATAACCATTACTTTAGTCGGAAGAGAAAATGTCTTTGAATGAATTATCGCACAACAATTTCATTTAAGAGGAATTTAAACCATTTGGATTGGAAGATTTTTCAATAAGATATACGTACTTATGTTTCATTGTATAAAAATTAAAGATGATACCATTTGGATTAAATAAATAATAAAGATAGTATCACTTGAGTTTTACTTTTTATTTTGATAGTAGAATTTAACTTGACGCCACAGTTGTTGATATCAAATTTTTTATACAAATGATACATATCATTAGATTAATATTTATTATTTATTTAATTTGGCATAAAGAAATAGGATTTAACTTGGCGCCAGTTCTTGATATCAAATCCTTTATAATGATACGTATCATTAAAGTTAATATTATTTATTATTTGGTATCCGAATTACATGGAATTTAACTTGGCGCCAATTGTTGATATCTTTTTTACAAATAATACATAAAATTTTAAAGAATTTAACTTGGCGCCAATTTTTGATATCAAATCTTTTATATGAATGATACATATCATTAGAGTTAAGTAAATAACAAAAGATAGTATCATTTGTGTTTTATTTTTTAATTTAATAGAATTTAACTTGATTGGTTAAGATTGTAGTTTCTGGATTTTAATTTTTCATTTGATAATTTAATTTTTTTCGGAAAGTAATAATTTTTGACAGAGAATTAAAGTGTCATTACTTGTGTTGGAATAAGAAGATTTTCAATAAGAATATCCTTGAAAAAAAATTAAAACTACAATTACAATTTAAATAAATTTTTTATAAAATATGATGAGTTTTTTTAAATATCTTTCTACTTAATAGTTAGCCTGGACGCAGTCTGTAACTTACAACTTGTATACAGTACGTATATAGTAGAATCTGGATTATCTGACACGGTTTTTTTAATCTCGCAGATTGTTCGACATCAGGTGCTTTTCAGCAAGAGACACAGATGACAGTGTAACACAATGAAACATCCTTGTTATTTGCTAACGTTGAATGAACATGACATGATCTGTGTCACACTGTATCGCTTGTTGGAAAATATCATCAAATTTTTTTGATAGTAGTGTTACGCGCATTCTTACTGATTGATATACGATATTTTGAGAAATCGCTTTGTAAAAATTTTTTATAAAAAGGAATTATAAGAGTTAAGAGAGATAATCTATTTGAAACTTAAATTTTAATAATTTAAAATCAGATTTTATTATGTTTTTAATTTTAGTTTGATTATTATAATCATTACAAGTTCTTCATTTTTGCTTTTCAATTTTTAATATATTTTCAAAAAAGAGGCATTTGTTTGTATAAATAAATTAGTACACAAGAAACGCTTAATCTTTCTTTTTTACAACGCGTGCAAAACTGCTCCAGAGCATTCCAAAACTGCCCTCCCCCCTCCCCCCTCCAGAAGGGTACTTTTGAACATAAAAAGTGCTTTTTTAAAATATAAATAAAATATATATGTTGTTATGATATTTGTTTTAATGTCATTTATTATTGTACATCAATATCTGTATTAACTATTAACACAACAGAAATAATTTCATTACATAGTAATTTATGAGCCCAAGAAGAAAGTGTTTAAAGCTACTCTCTTCCCTATACTGTTCTTTATCGTGTTCTATTTATTGAACCTGAAATATTATTTTGTAAGACTGTTTTCAAATGACACATAACGTTTGTATTGATATAATCTGTATATGTAAGCTTTTGAGAAGAGACCTAATTGCCTTATACGATAGCAAATTATGTTAATTGTTAATTTATACGTTGCGTTGTAATAAGAGGAGATTCATTTCTGGAATAACACTATGGACAGGTTTTAAGAAAAGATCCTATAACTTTTTGCGATTATATCAAGGTCTTCGGATTGCACACGTTGTTACTTTAGAATTGAAGGTTTTATATATTATAAGCGCTTGACTTTTCTAGAATTTTTGGTTTGTAATTGTTTTAATGTAGACTGTATATGTAACATTGAAAATGACCGGATAAAAGATCGAAACATCTGTATTTGTATTTTAGCTAAATATAATTTTTAGTATTTAACGATAGCGAAGACTATTATCTTGCTAATAATATCTTGCTTGCGCTCTGAGCCCTTTAACTGATTATTTTAATAATAAAATTATTTGATATATATGTCAATAATAGTTTTATAATTTCGTTCTTTTATTTCTCTAACAATTTTGTCAATGTAATTAAAAAACAATCCGCTACTCTCAGAGAATTTATTATTCATTTTAATTTCATCATTATAATTTATAATTTAATGAAATCAGCATATTTAAAATATGTGAAAGACAAAGAGATAGTGTGGTAGAGGGGAAAAGTAAGAAAAAATATATTTTTATAAACGTGTGAATGTGCGCCCCACGTGTAAATCGTCCGTCTAATCGTAAGTGCCGCTCCTGCTCATCTTCTTTACATGGCCCGTGATAGGCTATTTCTTCTTATAATTTGAAAACTAAGTTCCAGGCAAAATTTTCACAAAGGAAAAATCGTCTTGGAATTAAATCAGAAATATTACACTTTAAGGACAAACTTTTAAGCCTGAATTACCCTTTATAAATAAATTCTACATAGAATAATAAAAAAATGATAAAAACAATACAAAAACTGTATTATAAAATTTTAGAAAATTTTGCAGTAATATAATATCTACAAAAATATAATTTGAAAATTATTGGGTCATCTAAAAAGTATCCGCGGTTTTTTGTCACTAGATGGTGTTGATGATTATATATCGGGCAACACTAATCCGATTGTGTCAAACGAACGCGCGTCTGAAAGATGACATTTTAGGTTACATTTTTTATAAACAAAGTTTGGTGATTCATCAATCGTGTCAAAAGTTATATTGGTTTGAAAATGAGTGAAATATCTGAAGAAATACGCTATGTGATGCTTTTTTTACTACAAAAAAGGCAAAAACGCAACACAAACATGCAGACAAATTTGTGAAGTTTACGGCGCGGATGCTGTAAGTGAACGCAGAACGCAGGAGTGGTTTGTTCGATTTCGTTCTGGAAATTTTGATGTCAAAGATCGACCTCGCTCTGGTCGGCCAGTCACTGAAAAAGTCGATGAAATTTTGCAACTGGTCAAGCAAGACCGGCATCTGAGCTGTCAGGAGATAGCCAATGCACTAAGAATCAACCATATGACAGTTTGGAATCATTTGAAAAAGGCTGGCTACGCAAAGAAACTCGATGTTTGGGTGTCACATGAATTAACGCAAAGAAATTTGATTGATCGAATTTCCATCAGCGAAACACTACTAAAACACAACGAAATCGATCCATTTCTGAAGCAAATCATCACAGGCGATGAAAAATGGGTGAAATACAAGAATATTGTTCGTAAAAGATCATGGAATAAGCACGGCGAACCACCACAAACGACTTCAAAGCCTGGATTGATGGCAAATAAGGTGATGCTGTGTGTATGGTGGGATTGGAAGGGAGTCGTCCATCATGAGGTGTTACCACATGGCCTAACGATTAATTCAGAGCTCTACTGTTCACAACTGGATAGATTACAGGAAGCGATTAAGGAAAAACGACCAGAATTGATTAACAGAAAAGGTGTTGTCTTCCATCATGACAACGCCAGACCACACACATCTTTGATGACGCGCCAAAAATTGAGGGAGCTTGGTTGGGAAGTTTTGATGCATCCAACCAGAGAGATCAAAATAATCGTGTTCACTTTAGAAATATCATTTCGACACTTGAGATTACAGTGTGTTCATTTCGATTAGAATGTGTATCTTTCTCACACGAAAATGTAAATGTTACGAATTTTTTCGTTCAGGTATGCAGCCGATGTCACGTCGCGAAGATATACGACGTAGCCGATAAATTTATTAGGTGTTGGAATTAATTCGTAGCGTTTTACAAGTGATGGGAAGTACTTTCATTAATGTATTTTTTAATGCTCATGTGAAATAAATAACATTCTTTCATTAAAAAACGCTACGAATTAATTCCAACACCTAATATGTATTCATTTTCACGAAAAGAGAAAGAAGCGGAAAGAGAGGAAGAGAGAAAAACAGCGCGTACTTTTGTATAGTAATCACAGGCAATCAATGCCGCCTCCTTTGTTCGCTGGTTCGAGTATTCCGTGAGGTAAAACCAGTTCTTGAGTTAGTGCTTTTGCTTAGGCTCGAATGCGTGCGTATACGCGTATTTATACGTTAGGTTGCGGCGACGCTGCGTCACGGAGATCTGTGCTCGCGAAAACACAAGTTGTAGCGAAAAGCAATACGATGGAAAACATTATGTTAATAACGTACTGTCATAGAAGGTTGCGAAGGTAGTGAAAGGTATGCGTATGCCGCGCTACTGAAAAAAAAAAGAAATACAAAACGAGAGAAGCGCGATAATATCCTATGCGACGTCGCACCGATTCGATGGTAGAAAATCGAGAAAACTGGCATTGAAAATTAAATCGTTTATTACACTTCTCACAGATTCCCTGATTAATTTGAAATGTTAGAGACTTGGCTTAGCGCCGTGTCTCCGTAGATAAACATTCAGCATTTCATTATTCATTCAGTTTCTTATTCGTTTACATGGGAAAAGCAACAACTATTCTCTATTTTATTTCTATTTTTTCCTGTACACAGCAATCGGAATATTCTTCCGTTTGCTCTTCAATTACGAATAAATTAAGGTTAAAAGAAAATGATACCTAATGAATATTGATCATATATCTCGAAAATTAATTGGTCCTATTAAGTAAAATGATTATGTGAACTTCCAATTGTTTGCGGATTATATGCGGTTGCTTCATCATCTTATATACAATAGTGTTATTTACGCATCAACAATTGCGAAAGCCCATAATTTATATAGAAAAGTAGGCTCGTGTAAATACAACGCAGTAAATTAAAATGTCAAGGCTTTTAAAAAAAACGAGCAAATATAGTTAACTAATAAAAATTCCTTTTTAATTAATTCCTTTTTAATTCGTATAACGCTATAAATTTCAAACGTTTCGAACTTACAAAGTCTCCATCAGTGGTAATAAAGAAGATGTATTTATGTAGTCAAATTTCCATCCAATGTCAATGAACTAATATATGATATAAAAATATCTAGGCTAATCTTATTTATTCTTGCGTTAAGATATAACGGATCGAAATAAGTATCAAGTGAGAAGTTTGAAAGTTCTTAATTATAAAAAAACTGTGTTTAACTAATTTTTCGGTTGTTATCAGCTCAGTCAATAATTTCATTTAAAATGTCATTCCAAACGAGGATCTTTCTTCTCAACGACTATCCTACTATATTCTGCACAATTAAATGTCAAGATTAAATGTTTAGATTAAAAAATTATTATATTTAATTCAATATTGATGAGAATTTATTTTTCACTTACGTTAATTTATAGAATAGTCAATTGAATCAATTTCAAATTGTGTTCTCGTGTATAATAAAACGTTGTTGATTGTCAGACGATTTGGAATGGACTGAACTTTTATTATACACGGTGACACAATTTGAAATTGATTCAATTGACTATTCTATATAAATTAATAGTATGACGTTTTATATGAAATTGTTGACTGAGCTGATTCTTGATAACAACCGAAGAATTAGTTAAATACAATTTTACAATTATGGCTTTTTAAACTTCTGACTTGATACTTATTTCGATTCGTGTACATGCTGTGTCAATAATTTGAAACGATATTTAACTCGCGCCGTGCAATTTTAATAAATCCGCCTCACGCAAATGTCCCTAGCCGCGCTGTAATCTACCGCGCTTTCCCTCATCACCGAAATTTACCGTGCGCCCCCCTAGATCGTTGTGAGCGACCCGATCGCCTTCGTGCATCTTCGAGCATGTACGCGCTTGCTGCGCATCGTTCGGCCCATGTTCTGTTTCGTCCCTCAAAAAAACGACATCTTTTTTTCTCTTCGTGTATCATCTCACCCGAGTGAGCATAGTAAGCTCGTTTTGTAGCAGGCAAATAAAGCAAGATTCTGAACAAGTAGCATTCATAATAGTGCACCACGCAGTATAAGCTACAAGACATTTGGAAAGAGAAAAGACACGTTTCACGTAACGCAAGAGACACCAAACTTCATTCCAAATAAAACAATCCGTAATATCTTAACGCAGGAATAACTAAATAAGATTAGCCTAGAGCGATAATTTTTATTATGTATCATATGTTAGTTCGTTGACATTGGATGGGGTTACATAAATACGTTTTCTTTATTATCACTGATGAAGACTTTGTAAGTCGAAACGTTTGAAATTTATAGCGTTATACGAATGTAATAAAAGACGAATTTTACTAGTTAACTATACTTGCTCGTTAACTATATTTTTTAAAAAAGCCTTGACATTTTAATTTATTGCGTTTCATTTATACGAGCTTTTCTATAAGATATGATATATTCATATAACTTTCAAAAATTGTTTTTTGTATGACATTGGTTTTTTTTTTGGAAAATTAGTTTTATCAATATTTGCGTTCCCTTAGATTTAAAACATTTTTCGATTTGTTTTATATTTTCTGAGATATTCGACCCATCATGTTTAAAATGGGTCATTCTGTATATCTTTCTTACGAATCTTACGAATTATATGTATATTAATCACTAATGGATCCGAAATCAACGTTTTGCGCCAAATCTGGTAAGAGTGATTAATTTCGTATTTTATATATTAGGTGTTGGAATTAATTCGTAGCGTTTTACAAGTGATGGGAAGTACTTTCATTAATGTATTTTTTAATGCTCATGTGAAATAAATAACATTCTTTCATTAAAAACGCTACGAATTAATTCCAACATCTAATAGAAGCTTATTTATAGAAGTTTTTGCTTCGCTGATGATAAATTCAAGATCAAAATTTCAAATTTCAAAACGACTAAAAATTCAACATGGTGGCTTCAAGTGGTTAACTTCATTATTCTATTATAAAATCGTATCATAGGTATGTATTTCTGGGTTGCAAATAATGGATTGGTTCAAGATATTCAAATTATTAATAATTATTAATAACCCGGTAAAAAATTTTTCAAGCATGAATATGTATAAACATACATAAATATTTATTAACATGTATAATATAATCATACAAGAAATATGTCCTCATGGTCATACATCCCTCTTTCTTTTGTAAAATTATTTTTTAGTATAATAAAAATAATAGTAATGATAAAACATTAAAAATAATTAAAAGGATAATTTTCACACTATTTGTTTTAAGTATTTTAAAACGAACAATTCGAAAATTATCCCTTTAATTATTTTTAATGTGTTTTCATATTATTATTACTTCCATTACACTAAAAAGTGATTTTACAAAACAAAAGGGATGTATAAACATGTATGGACATATTTCGTATATGATTATCTTTTTAAAAAAAGGTATACATAACAAAAGCACTAAGCATGCGTATTTTCCGTAAAAAATCATTTAAGCCGGTTTCATCGTTTGCTGTTTAGTAGAATTGACCATTTATGATTCATAATTAATTACCGATTCGGCTTAATCGAGTTGGTGAAACCAGTCCTTTGCACATAATACTAAATCAATCCAACGCAATTAATAGTAGTTTTAATTTTTTTTCAAGGATATTCTTATTGAAGATCTTCTTATTCCAACCCAAGTAATGGAAACTTTAATTTTCTGTTAAAAATTATTACTCTTCGAAAAAAATTAATGTATCAAATGAAAAATTAAAACCCAGATGCTACAATCTTAATCAATCATTCTATCAAATTAAAAAGTAAAACACAAATGAGATACTACGAGGACAAGTCAATAAGTTCTTAGAAAATCTGTCAGAGGGCATTCGCGGTGTCATGTCACATTACCTTTTGAGTAGTAGCATCTTTCAGTTGATTACTATCAAATTTTGAGTGGAATTTATCGCGTGGTTTCTGTAGACGATTAAAGCGAACAACCTTTGTATTTTTTCAAAATGGAAAAAAACGAGTTTTGTGCAGTGATCATGAAAGGTTTAACGCCGAAAGAAATCAAACCGAGTTAAATAACGTTTATAGCACATCTGCACAGCGTTTGCAACTATATATAATTGGGTGAATGAATTTAAACATGGTCGTACATCCACATGTGATGCATCTCGTCCAATTGAGGCTGCTACGCCACAAATCATCGATAAAGTCCACGATATTGTTTTGACTGATCGAAAGTTTCGACTTGAGTGAAAGTGCGCGAGCTTGTTGGCCACAGGCACATCACATGGCACAGTGATCAATTTTGCACGAACAATTGGGTATGAAAAAGCTATCGGCAAGATGAGTGCCGCGTTTGCTCACTGTGGACCATAAGTGCGACCGTGTGACGATTTCAAAACAATGTTTGGAGATGTTTTAACGTAATCCAGATAAATTTCTGCGTCGATTACTGTGGATGAAACATGGATCCATTACTTCACACTCGAGACGAAGGAACAGTCAAAACTTGACCGAGTGAAAACCAGCTCCGAAGAAGGCAAAGAACCGTGAAGTCAGCCGGAAAGGTGATGGCCACAGTTTTTTGAGATGCACGCGGTATAATTCATATCGATTATCTTCCGTCGAAGCAAACGATCAATGGCGATTACTACGCAGCCTTATTGGATCGTTTCAACATTTTAAAGAAAAAAACGTCCCCATTTGGCGAAGAAGAAAGTACTTCCATCAAGACAGTGCACGGGTTCACATGTGGCACCGATGGCCAAATTCAACGAATTCCGCTACGAATTGCTTCCTCATCCATCATATTCGCCAGATTTAGCCTCCTGCGACTATTTCCTGTTTCCAAACTTGAAGAAATGGTTCAAAGGAAAGAGATTCACCACCAGAGAGCAGTTCATCGCCGAAACAGAAGCTTATTTTGAAGGATTAGACAAATCATATTATTCGGATGGCTTGAAAAAGTTCGAGAATCGTTGGATCAAGTGTATCGAGCTGAAAGGAGACTATGTTGAGAAAAAAAAATGAATCGATTAAAAAATATGTTTTACTATGTTTTCCTAAAAACTTATTGACTTGCCCTCGTATCTTTTATTATTTATTTAACTCTAATGATATGTATCATTTGTAAAAGATTTGTTATTAACAAAATGGGCGCCAAGTTAAATTCTTCAAAATTTTATGTATTATTCGTAAAAAAGGTTGATATCAACAATTGGCGGCAAATTAAATTAAATTCCATGTAATTCGGAGTGTTTTTACATGAAAATTTTTTCTATTTAAATTAAATTTTTTTATTTTATACGGTTAATTTTTTGTGATAACATTTAAATTAAGCAAGATAACGTAATTTTGTGATAATGCTTTGTATATTATTTTGAAGGAAAATTAAATAACCATTACTTTAGTCGGAAGAGAAAATGTCTTTGAATGAATTATCGCACAACAATTTCATTTAAGAGGAATTTAAACCATTTGGATTGGAAGATTTTTCAATAAGATATACGTACTTATGTTTCATTGTATAAAAATTAAAGATGATACCATTTGGATTAAATAAATAATAAAGATAGTATCACTTGAGTTTTACTTTTTATTTTGATAGTAGAATTTAACTTGACGCCACAGTTGTTGATATCAAATTTTTTATACAAATGATACATATCATTAGATTAATATTTATTATTTATTTAATTTGGCATAAAGAAATAGGATTTAACTTGGCGCCAGTTCTTGATATCAAATCCTTTATAATGATACGTATCATTAAAGTTAATATTATTTATTATTTGGTATCCGAATTACATGGAATTTAACTTGGCGCCAATTGTTGATATCTTTTTTACAAATAATACATAAAATTTTAAAGAATTTAACTTGGCGCCAATTTTTGATATCAAATCTTTTATATGAATGATACATATCATTAGAGTTAAGTAAATAACAAAAGATAGTATCATTTGTGTTTTATTTTTTAATTTAATAGAATTTAACTTGATTGGTTAAGATTGTAGTTTCTGGATTTTAATTTTTCATTTGATAATTTAATTTTTTTCGGAAAGTAATAATTTTTGACAGAGAATTAAAGTGTCATTACTTGTGTTGGAATAAGAAGATTTTCAATAAGAATATCCTTGAAAAAAAATTAAAACTACAATTACAATTTAAATAAATTTTTTATAAAATATGATGAGTTTTTTTAAATATCTTTCTACTTAATAGTTAGCCTGGACGCAGTCTGTAACTTACAACTTGTATACAGTACGTATATAGTAGAATCTGGATTATCTGACACGGTTTTTTTAATCTCGCAGATTGTTCGACATCAGGTGCTTTTCAGCAAGAGACACAGATGACAGTGTAACACAATGAAACATCCTTGTTATTTGCTAACGTTGAATGAACATGACATGATCTGTGTCACACTGTATCGCTTGTTGGAAAATATCATCAAATTTTTTTGATAGTAGTGTTACGCGCATTCTTACTGATTGATATACGATATTTTGAGAAATCGCTTTGTAAAAATTTTTTATAAAAAGGAATTATAAGAGTTAAGAGAGATAATCTATTTGAAACTTAAATTTTAATAATTTAAAATCAGATTTTATTATGTTTTTAATTTTAGTTTGATTATTATAATCATTACAAGTTCTTCATTTTTGCTTTTCAATTTTTAATATATTTTCAAAAAAGAGGCATTTGTTTGTATAAATAAATTAGTACACAAGAAACGCTTAATCTTTCTTTTTTACAACGCGTTCAAAACTGCTCCAGAGCATTCCAAAACTGCCCTCCCCCCTCCCCCCTCCAGAAGGGTACTTTTGAACATAAAAAGTGCTTTTTTAAAATATAAATAAAATATATATGTTGTTATGATATTTGTTTTAATGTCATTTATTATTGTACATCAATATCTGTATTAACTATTAACACAACAGAAATAATTTCATTACATAGTAATTTATGAGCCCAAGAAGAAAGTGTTTAAAGCTACTCTCTTCCCTATACTGTTCTTTATCGTGTTCTATTTATTGAACCTGAAATATTATTTTGTAAGACTGTTTTCAAATGACACATAACGTTTGTATTGATATAATCTGTATATGTAAGCTTTTGAGAAGAGACCTAATTGCCTTATACGATAGCAAATTATGTTAATTGTTAATTTATACGTTGCGTTGTAATAAGAGGAGATTCATTTCTGGAATAACACTATGGACAGGTTTTAAGAAAAGATCCTATAACTTTTTGCGATTATATCAAGGTCTTCGGATTGCACACGTTGTTACTTTAGAATTGAAGGTTTTATATATTATAAGCGCTTGACTTTTCTAGAATTTTTGGTTTGTAATTGTTTTAATGTAGACTGTATATGTAACATTGAAAATGACCGGATAAAAGATCGAAACATCTGTATTTGTATTTTAGCTAAATATAATTTTTAGTATTTAACGATAGCGAAGACTATTATCTTGCTAATAATATCTTGCTTGCGCTCTGAGCCCTTTAACTGATTATTTTAATAATAAAATTATTTGATATATATGTCAATAATAGTTTTATAATTTCGTTCTTTTATTTCTCTAACAATTTTGTCAATGTAATTAAAAAACAATCCGCTACTCTCAGAGAATTTATTATTCATTTTAATTTCATCATTATAATTTATAATTTAATGAAATCAGCATATTTAAAATATGTGAAAGACAAAGAGATAGTGTGGTAGAGGGGAAAAGTAAGAAAAAATATATTTTTATAAACGTGTGAATGTGCGCCCCACGTGTAAATCGTCCGTCTAATCGTAAGTGCCGCTCCTGCTCATCTTCTTTACATGGCCCGTGATAGGCTATTTCTTCTTATAATTTGAAAACTAAGTTCCAGGCAAAATTTTCACAAAGGAAAAATCGTCTTGGAATTAAATCAGAAATATTACACTTTAAGGACAAACTTTTAAGCCTGAATTACCCTTTATAAATAAATTCTACATAGAATAATAAAAAAATGATAAAAACAATACAAAAACTGTATTATAAAATTTTAGAAAATTTTGCAGTAATATAATATCTACAAAAATATAATTTGAAAATTATTGGGTCATCTAAAAAGTATCCGCGGTTTTTTGTCACTAGATGGTGTTGATGATTATATATCGGGCAACACTAATCCGATTGTGTCAAACGAACGCGCGTCTGAAAGATGACATTTTAGGTTACATTTTTTATAAACAAAGTTTGGTGATTCATCAATCGTGTCAAAAGTTATATTGGTTTGAAAATGAGTGAAATATCTGAAGAAATACGCTATGTGATGCTTTTTTTACTACAAAAAAGGCAAAAACGCAACACAAACATGCAGACAAATTTGTGAAGTTTACGGCGCGGATGCTGTAAGTGAACGCAGAACGCAGGAGTGGTTTGTTCGATTTCGTTCTGGAAATTTTGATGTCAAAGATCGACCTCGCTCTGGTCGGCCAGTCACTGAAAAAGTCGATGAAATTTTGCAACTGGTCAAGCAAGACCGGCATCTGAGCTGTCAGGAGATAGCCAATGCACTAAGAATCAACCATATGACAGTTTGGAATCATTTGAAAAAGGCTGGCTACGCAAAGAAACTCGATGTTTGGGTGTCACATGAATTAACGCAAAGAAATTTGATTGATCGAATTTCCATCAGCGAAACACTACTAAAACACAACGAAATCGATCCATTTCTGAAGCAAATCATCACAGGCGATGAAAAAT